TTAATTAGTCCACCTATTTAATAATTAATTTCTTTTTTTATCTTTTATTCAATAATTTCAATTAATCTATCATTAAAAAAAATTCCATTACTTCCTTTTATTTTATTTCTTATCTATCATTAACCTATTTAATTTAGTATTTATTTTATAATGTAATTTATTCCTTTTTCTAATTAACAACAAAATAAAAACTTATTTCCCAATCTAATAACCCTTTATTTAATAATAAAAACTTTTTAAAAGAACTTTTTTTTTATACTTATAATTTATTTGTAGACTAAACTCAATTAATTTACAATCCAATAATTTCTGCAATTTACTTTCCTTGCAATTTATTATTTCTGCATTTATAATTACCGCATTCTACATTCTGGCATCGCATTCCGTCCAAAGGAAAAACCTACACATAATTCAACGTTGTTTGTAGTGCACCTCATTTGCATCATTCTCCCCACGATCCTTGAGTCCATTCAAGTTGATCGCTTAAGATAGATCCTACCCCATAGGAAGGATCCTGTCTTTATCTTTACAACTTAGACAAATAAACAAATCAAACATAATACAACTTTTCAAACACACTAGAGGATAGATGTTAATCATCTTAAGTGAGATATAATCTCCACCCCCACAACAATACAATCAAACATGTAGGAGCTTTGCCTTAAGAGCGATAAAGGCATACTCGTCAAACGAATCCGAGTATTTAAGACCTTTTCTTAAGACGATGCAAAGACTATTTTCCTACAACCCCCTTCACACTTGTGGTAGTTATCTCTCCCTTAACATGAAGACTCGTCTCTTCTCCTAAAACCTAATCAAAATAACTACCCTAAACCCATAGGAACTTTGACCACAGTCAAAGAGCTCCTCTAACCCTTTAGGGTGAACTACAAAATACTCTGATTCCACTCCCCATAAGGATATGTAGGCATAAGATGCGACATCTTATCGAGTATACTTAGAAATAAACCCCCTAGGTCTTTAACCTTAAGCAGATAAACCATAGCAATAAACAAACATAAAACAAGAGGTTCCTGTAGAGTACTACAGAAACTTAGGATGCTAGTACCTTCCCTAAGTTTAACCAACCCCCGAACCTAAACAATCTAACCTTGCATTTGCATTGCATAGTGGGAATTTCGATCTTTATCCCTTCCTTTGGACAAATCAAAGTTCGGTTGCAAATTGAATTAACGATTCAAACTAATTAATAGTTTGGTATCCAAATTTCACCGCGACAATAATGATAAAAATAGTTCAACATTACTTTGTGTAGGGTTCTAATATTTTTTTTCTTGAACCTTTGAAATTATACTAAATTTTCTTCTTTGCCTTAAAAAGTAAAGAACATTCACTTAAGGTTGAGTTTAAAACTAAGTTAGGGAGAGTAAAAAGAAAATGGTAGGTTACTCAAAAATTTTGAAAATTTTAAAGCAAGCATGAAAAGAAAATGTGAATATGAATTTGAAAAACAAAAGAAAAAGAATGTTTATTGAAAGAAAAAAATGTAGAGAAGAAATAATATGCAAAAAGGAAGTTTGAAAAAGGTGAGAAGTAGAGAAAAGAAAGTGTTGGATGGAGTTGTAATGCGTACATAGCCCTGTGTAGTGAACGTTTCTTTTGCATTGGCAACTTTGAATCTTTGGCCTTATAAATGTCCCTTTGTTGCGAAACCTATCCAAGCTACAAAATTTAAAGTCCTTAAGTGATCTTTTTTCTACCATAATTTCTTTGATGATTGTTTAAATGAATGTATAAATTGGTATGTATTTGCATCATTTTTCAGGTGAGTGATTTACCTCGCGGTTGTAAGCGGATATTTCCTTCAATTATTTTTTTAAGAGGAGTGTTAGAGTGATTCGAGCATGATAATTTAGTTGTTACTTGAAGCATTGCATGATATTTGTTTAAGAACTAAATTCTTTTTCCTTGTTCGATTCTAGGAAGTTGTATAATTGCTTGTGTGCATTTATTGTTTATTTGAGCCATACATACATTCTTGGTTGAATTAAATGCTTGATCAAATCCTCTTGTTTTCAATGAGAGACATACTTTGCTTGAAGACAAGCAAAGATCTAGTTGGGGAAGTTTGTTAGATGTTAATCTTGCTTTAAATTGTTCATTTATTATTGGCATTTTTCAAACTCTTTTGTGTTGTTTTGTTGGATTTACTACATGAAAGCATGTTATTCTTCAATTGTATGAAAACTCCTTTGGTCTCTTTTATTTGTGTGTTATTGTGCAGAATTAGGCATGAAATCGTCAAAGTATGAGACACAATAAAATGGACAAGGAGGCCAAAGGAAGAGGAGAATACTAGTAAGTTCGTTGGGCGAACTTACCAGCGAATGTTTGCTTTGCGAACATCTAGCGAAGTCCTATTGAATGCTCCCAGACTTGAGGCAGTAGCAAAAGAGCTGTAAGTTGACTAGGCGAATAAGCCAGTGAATGTTCGTGGTGGCAACGCGTCAGCGAAGAGCTAGTGAACCATCCCTGACTTGAGGTAGTAATTAAAGGACCATAAGTTTATTGTGCGGAACTTGTAGGCGATGTAGTTTGCAGTGCATAATCGTTCGTACGACGAACTTCAAAGATTTCTAAGGGGCAATTTAACTGTTTAGAGACACTTCAGGTGCCTAAATTAGGGTTAGCTAGGCGAAGAATTAGTTTGCAGTGCGAACATGACAGATTTTGAATGTACTATATAAGTATTTTTCATCATTTTTGGGGATCATAACCCATATTTAGACACCACAACCTAATTTTCTGAAGTTTCTACACTAAATATTGATATTTTACAAATAGAAGCTGAATACGTATCCGAGTTTGATTCTTCGACGTGGATGCTCCTTCATTTCCTCCCGAAACTTGTAAAGCAAACTACCATGGTTATGAGTAGCTAATGACTTTTGTGTCAAGATTAGTGGTAGATAATCCTCACTTTTGTATGTATTTCTCTTAATATTTTGTATGTGAATAAGCTGATGATGAATATATGGTGAAAAACCTTGTTTTTATGGTTTATATTTGTGATGAATCATTATTGAGAGATATGTTTCAACTATTGACCTAGATTTTTCATCTTTCAACAAACAAAGTCTAAAGATAGTTTTGTGAGTTGATATTCACTAATATCAATCGTTTAATGTTATCATATTGACAGTTAGGTTGATATATCATCTAAGGATCAATATGATAAAACTCACAATTTGTTTTAGATATGAAACATCTTGAGAGGATATGTGATTATATTTATTGTTAATAAGTTCACATGCTTTATTAAGAAGATACGTACGAAATGGATTATCGAGCCCTAATCTTGACATGCTTTAACAATCGTTTCAAAATCAAAACTCTTTTACCGTTGCTTATAACTTTTTATGTGATCGCTGCGTTACGAAACCAAAACAAACATCTTTTATGTTCTATGTTTAAAATAATTTCAACTGTATAACAACGGTAATATCAATCAATCCCTGCAGATACAAGAACAAAAACACATACTAATAATGTTTCAACATGATTTAAAGTGAGAATGGATTTGAATTACCTAAAACTTGTGTGCTTCCTTTCTTATATAGCGGAGGATGGTAAAAATGTCTTTGCGGGGCGTGATGTGTTGTGCAGTTAGAGCTGGCAAAACGGGCTACCCGGCCCGTGACGGGCTGACCCATGATGGGCTCGGGCTTTGTGCGGACCGGGCTAAAAATCCCAGATTATAAACGGGCTCTAATTTGATTGACCAAGCCCGGCCCTTCATGGGCTACGGTTTTTTGGGCCGGCCCGGTTTATATTTATATATATTTAGTGTTCCTTTGCACAAATTATTCGACATCGGTATCCTAAAATAAGTTATACTGTTTATATTTGTAACATGAATAGGGAAATGATGCTGCAAACACTTCTATTAGCAAGTCCGAAGAAAGGTAAAATCAGATTCATTTCTGAACAAAATTAATTTGGCATATATTCAGTGGTCAAAATGATATATCATAATGTGCCATATTATTCAACCCACAAAAAAAGAGATATTTCCAAATTTATTTATTGATGTATCATGTAATAATTAATCAAAAAAATCAATGCCTTACTACACACACCTATATATAATATAAGTAAACATATTCTCAGAACATAAGCAAACAAACACCAGAACAAAACCAAGCAATACACATCACAGTTTGTCGTAATGGCCTCTGCTTAGTGCTACAAAACTTGTGAACAAAACTGTCAGCACAAAAATAACTACCAGCAGCAGCAACAACATAGCTCAATCGGACAGAAGGTAACTGGCTTGTTCAAAGGACACCACAATGATGGAACACAAACCAAAACCGAATACTATAGCGAGACAGATGTGATTTACCAACCAGGATATGTTGCCAAAAACCAAACCAACACATGCAATTTGAAAAACCCTCTAATACATCACATAAATCATCTAATAATCAAACATAAAAGAGAAGAAAGCAAATAAATAAAACTCCACCTCTACTAGAAGACTATATGGATCTCAGCTCTCAAGAAACCACCATCAACTCAAACATAATTCTTCATAAGAAGCATCAAGAATACTCCACCACAAGAACAAGATCAATTACACTTAAGCTGCTATTGATTCACGCATAAAGAAAATAGATTTTGCAGCCGTGCATTGAAACTTACAAGGGAAGCAGGATATGGTCATGATAACAAGAATGGTGGAAGCATATTTAACCTATATTTTTTGCACTTCTGTTGTGACCTATATATCCTGTACATTAACTAAGAGTTTTACTACTGAGTTACACAGTCCAATATTTATGCTCGAACGATGCATTGTCGAGGTAACCAAAGATCTCTGAAACACGAGAACTCCAAAATGCTTGCATAATTTATAATTATGCATAAATCAAAAGCAGAGTACATTTATTTAAAATGCTTGCAAATTATATGGTTGTATCAAAATCATGATAAATAATTATACCTTTGTTTGGCTAAGTTGATCAACTTCAACACTATCATTGATTTGTTCCATCAGAAAATCCGAGGTTTTCTTGACGAATGACTTCACACTTATCTTTATCTTCATCACTGCCAATATCATATTCTACAAAAATAATATGTTATATATCTTAAGCTAGTATATCATTTTATAATCTATAAGTTGTTATTCTAAAATTAAAATTCATACCTACAAAACCATGTAGCCAACTACGTGCGCACATGAGAGCTTGAACGGTGTCATCTTTTAAAGAGCTTCTATACTTGTTCAAAACTCGAGCACCAATGCTAAAAGCATATTCTGATGCCACCGTGGTTATTGGAATGCTTAATACATCACAAGCCATCTTTGCAAGATCGGGACATCTTCGACTTCTCTCCTTCCAAAAATCTAATATATCAAAACCAATTGAGGATGGAAGCCTTTGCTCGGATAAATAAACATCAAGTTCGGATGTTCCCGCGACACTAACTATTTGGCTTTCATACTCTTCAAATTCCTACAGATATATTAAGAATTATGAAATTCCTACAAATTTAAAAAATGTTAATGAAACTATGAAAGTGTTAAAAAAATTGATAAAATTAACTTACTTCACATACATACAATGATTGTGGCATCTTTGCATTGCTTCCTCCATATGAAGAATTAACTTGTTCTGAATGTCTTGTATTAGAAGAATGACTACCATTTTTAACATATTCTTTATACAATCTTGACAAATCATTCTTGACAATCTTCAATTTCTCTTCAGCTTCTAATGGATCAACTTGTTTATATGCAAATGAAATTTTTTTTAGCTTTTTGGTTGGATCTAATATAGCCCCGAAGGCTAATACTATACTATATTCGCTCCAATACTTGTCAAATTTCTCTCTCACTTTTATAGTCATACTCTTGATCACACAATCTTCACTTGTCAAATTTGACTTCAAAAGACATTATATCTTCCATATTTCTCTTATATACAAATTTGATGTTGGGTAAGAAGATCCAGATATCAAATTTGTAATATTGTAAAATGGCCAAAACTTCACAAATTACTTCAACTCTTTTCCATTCAACAATACTCAAACATAACTTGTAATTTGGATCACACAAACTTAAGCTATAAAAGGCACGCTGATAATTAAATGCACTCTCAAGCATGATATAAGTGGAGTTCCATCTAGTGGGGGTATCAGTCCTCAATCCAATTGATTTATCAATTCCATCAACATTGTTAACACAATGAAAAAATTGAATTGTTCTGCTTTCAGATGCCCTCACATAATGCACACTTTGTCTAATTTTATGTAATGCATCACTTGCCACCTTTAATCCATCTTGAACAATAAGATTCAAGACATGTGCACAACATATAATGTGAAAGAACTCTCCATTAAGTAACAAGCTACTTGACAATCCTAGGTGCTCTTTCAAATAGTTTTGCATGTTATCATTTGCAGAAGCATTATCTAAAGTGAGAGAAAAAACTTTTCTTTCTATGCCCCATTCTCGTAAAAGTTCCATCACCTTCAACGCTAATTAAGGTCCTGAATATGGTGGTTTTAAATGAGCAAATGCGAGAATTTTATTATTCAGGTTCCAATTCACATCAACAAAGTGAGCAGTTAAAGAAATAAAACCATGATTTGTGCATGAAGTCCAACAATCAGAGGTAAGACAAATTCTTCCTGAAATTTGAGCCAATTGTGACCTTAACCTCTCTTTCTCAGCCTTATAAATTTCCATTACATCAGCTTTAATGGTATTTCTAGAAATCCACCTACATTCCTCATTCATGAACTTTTGATATTTTCTATAGGCTTGCCACTCAACTATATTAAATGGGGCACCATGTGTAATTATCATTTCAGCTATAATTTCTCGATTAACCTTCCGGTCAAACTTTCTTCTTTTCAATTTTCCTTCCATATCAAGAAGCATATCCCCCACATTCCCATATTTCTCAAGAAGAAACTTACAAGAATCAACATGACGAATTAAATGTGTGGTTCCACCGGTAGCTTTACAACCCAAAATAGAACCACAACCTTTGCATTTACACTTTTCTTTTTCATTAATACCAATACCAATCTTTATAAGGTGGTTCCACACATCAGATGTTAGTACCCTCTTCTTTTTTCCCCTTGGTGTCATAGTGGTATCTTGTGTATTGGCTATTGGAGATTGATTAACTTGTAGTGGAGGAGTTTCTAAAATTTGAAGTTCATCATCATCTAAAACTACACTTTTTCTAGCACCATAAATATTCATATTGAGACACTAAATAAAAAAGAAGCACATAATTATTAAAAAGTGAACTAAATACAAGAAGAAACATAATTATATTGACATTATTCAAACTAGTATGATAAATATAAGAAGATATAGACATTATTCATGACCCAAATTCTAAATACAAGAAGAAATTATGCAGACTAGTGTGATAGAAGATATAGACATTATTCATGACCCAAATTCTCATATAACATAATAATAGTTACCTTGAGAAAATATGTGGAGATTGATTAACTTGCAGTGGAGGATCAATTATTCACAATACTCAAGTTACTTTAGGTATCTTCAGTAAATTCAATATTCCTGCAGTGAAAGCATCAACTTTCCCACGAGTAGACGCATCAATTATCACGCAGTGAAAGCATCCTGCAATATCCAAGCAGGTGTATTTAATAGAAATAGATTCAAAAGATTCATAACATTCAAATCCAAGAGACCCTAATGTATTAATAAATCATTTTTTACAATAATTTCCATAACTTGAAGCCTAGCCATGTTAACCGCTCCTAATCCAAACAAACTGTCCTTTAGTTGCTGCCAAAGAAATTGTTCCCTCTTACCTTAAACATTTGCCACATATTTTTTCACCAGGTACATCATGATTGGACTAGCTATCTAGAATATTAATGAAATTAGTAACAAGATTATGGTATTGATGCAGTGTAGTACTGAATCAGTAAAAGTGCATCATCGTTACCGTATTGGTTGTGCGGCCGCGCAATGACTAGGGTTAGAAGTTAGAACATAAGGTTTGAGAGCAAATGAATATATTTTTCTATATTGTATCAGACATACAGTGTGTTTATAATATTATGTCTTTAATTTAAGTTTTTTTAATTTTTTTAAACATGTGGTGAATGAATGAATTTTTGGAGTAATTAATGAATGGATTGGGCTTTAACTTTAAGCCTTTAAGAGTTTAACGTCATTCTGAAGTTTCATATTTAATTATTTATATTATTTTTTTATAAAAAGCATGGACACCTTAATGCATTTTTTTAAATATTTATTTTTAATTTTTAATTTTTATAAAATAAACGGGCTACCCGCAACTCGATCGGGTTAGTCCGGTTAGAGTTCGGGCTTCAACGGGTCGGATTAAAATAGTCTGGATGATAAACGGACCCTAATTTTCTTGTCCAAACCCTTTATTTTTTTGGGCTTTTTGACCCGGTCCAGTAGACCTGACCCATTTTGCCAACTCTATGTGCATTAGACGTTTTAATTGATCTAGACGATGCATAATGTGTGAGTTTAAAATCACCTACCCTTGTTGATAGTTAGGTCCATGCATATGTACTCTTAGTATCTACCTTCATACTTTTCCTATGGGTCCTTCTAGAAACTCCAAAACAATAATAAAGATTATATTTAACAAATGTGAATCAATAAAATAAATTATTTAAAAAACATTAAGTTCAAATCCTTATTGTCAATTTTATAATTTTTTCATATTTTTTCTCTATAAATTTATTTTGACCCACATTCAAATTAATTTAACTTTCTCAATTTAAATTCGGTTATTAAAATTTATTGATATGGAAAAAAATTAGAGTTAAATATTTTAATCAATACTTATTACAACCATAAAATTTAAATTTAATTTGGTAAAATTATTTTAATAGTTATTTTTATTTAAAAAATTGAAGAAGAGACAATTATTAAAAATTAAAGAGGAAATGATAATTATTTTGCCAAATTATATATGATAATTACCTTCTCTTAGGTTTCAAAAGCAACCATCATAGGAAATTAGGTTAATTATAAAGTAGTGCTATAATTCAAATAATGAAGCAAGCTAATATCCTTCATTAAATTAATATTGATACGTCAATATTTTTTAAAGGAAACGATTTGAAAACATTAAATTAATATTGATACGTCAATATTTTTTAAAGGAAACGATTTGAAAACATTATGAATATTATTCCTTTTATAGCTTTCATTCCTTTTGTTTATTTTCAGAATACGATTTTTTTTTAATAAAAGATTTTGAAAAGTTAATTTGGATAAATAAATTTTTTTTATTTAATGAAAACGGTTCGGAATCATTATAAATTTTATTACTTTCAAGACTTTCGTTACTTTTGTTTACTTTCGGAATTTAATGAAAAGTTAATTTAGATATGCAATTATTATTTTTAATTAAAATGGTTCTGAAACATTATAAAGTTAATACATTTGGTGACTTTCATTCCTTTTGTTTATTTTAAGAATATGATTTAATTGTTTTATACTTAGAAAACCTAAATATATTCTTAGTTAAACTATACTCTTAAACTAAATTATGGAGATTCTAATGATAATTTTCTATAGAATTTATTTTAATTTAATATGTACAATTTTATAATGTTAGATAATTGAATGAATTACTGAAATGTGAAGTTTTGTTATGAAACCTATAAAATTTATAAAGAGGGTTAAAACTTGAAAATAGTTTTAATAATTCTGAGATCATATAAGACACATGCACCTACCGTATTGAAATCAAAGGAATTGAGTGGAATAGGAATTGTTCTGGACTGGGCCCCGGTCAGCCGGTCTGGCCCAATCACTCTTTCAAGACCCAAAGACGTCCTGGGCAAACCCATGACACGCACGAGCTGTGGTGGGTTCACCGGGCACGTACTGCACAATATGACGTCGGGCACGGATCATGAATTGAGGGCATAAGCCACGTGCTCGGTACAGGCGCGAGCCGATCACGCCTATCTACTTATGGGATACACCACGAACTGGATCTCCTTGGCAGGGGAGATCGCGGGCACGACATGGTCTCCACGTGCTTCCCCCTTTTTTGCGGAAACACGTCATAACCCAACCGCCCACTCCCGAAAGACCTGGCGTACTTTCCGGAGACCGTGGAGCGGTTGGACTAGGGCAAATACCACATCCTGGTCTTCTCGATGCCACATCAGCCCTAGCAGTCCTTTGGGTTGGGCCTGCTCATCCAGCCCAAAGGACCGTTGGCCCAGCGCTGGGGTCTATAAATACCCTCTTCCTCAAGAGGGTCAGGTATTCACTTCTTACCCTCTGTATTTGCACTGCTCTGCCCAAAATATCTTACTTTGGCATCGGAGTTCCTTGCAGGTACACCCCCACCTTTCCTTCTCAACACCGGCGGACGGATACCAGCCCAACAGAGCGAGGCCAGGCAGTGACCATCCTTCTGATCAGGTCAGATCAGTGACGCCGTTTGTGGGAAATTGAAACTTCCCCGTTATTCCAAGCAAATAACCAAAGTTTCGTCATCACTCACAGTCATGTCTAGCCCGCCCCAAGGTGGTACGGTCCTCGAGCTAACCAACGCTCCCGGTGCGAACGGATGCAAGCAGATGGAGACGCCTCAACGCCCTGAAACCGACGACAGGGTCGTTCGTACCGCCTCCCCTTCACCCGACGAGGCCGCCCACCAGGCCGCTTTCAGGCCGGTGAGCCCACCAGCGTTCCAGCCCATTCCTATCCCAGCTGGAGCAGACCTGACGACAGCCGCACTCTTTGCGGCCATCAACCAGACCAACCAACTGCTTTACCAGCAAAGCACACACATCGGTGCACTGGAAAGAGGAGCGCCGCGACGTTTCCCCCGCGAGAAGGCCAGAACGACAAT